GGAACTCCTCCATGAGATTCTGCTATTTTCCATACAGCCATGGAGAGGCTTGTCTCGGCAGTTGGCAGCAGAGATGAGGACAGAATTCCTCCTACAGATCATGCACCTCTCTGTGTAGCCTCAGCACACCCTTGTCTCCATCATTCCTGGTCTCAGCAGATTCCAACAGCTGTCTCCAGCTCTGCTCTGGTCCTCCTCCAGACCCTGCTTCTTTCCAGCAGCACAACAAGGGGGTGCACTGTGATGTAAGGGAGGATGGGGGCTCTTGACATCTAGTTTTACAAATACAATTTTTTGCACTATGAATAAAAAAAAGACCAACAATTTTGAAAAAAAAACAATATTTTGGACTTTTTGATATTAAACATGTCCAGTAAAAAAATAGAAAAAAATCCAATTTAGGCCAAAATGTATTCTGCTCCATGTCTTTGCAGAAAAAAAAAACCCCAATATGTGTAAATGAATTGGTTTACATGAAATTTATAGTGTTACAAATGGCGGAATATATACTGGAGTTTTTTTGTTTTTTTACTAGTAATGGCGGTGATCAGCGACTTATAGCGGGACTGCAGCAGGCATTCTGACACTGGGGGAGGAACGGACTTGTGCCTGTGTGTTTTTTATTTTTTGTGCTATAAGAAAAAGGGCCAACAATTTTGAGAAAAAAAACAAACAATATTTCATCATAAATTTACACCAAAATGTATTCTACTACATGTCTTGGCTAAAAAAAAATCCCAATCTATGTAAATTAATCGATTTATGTGAAAGTTATAGCATTTACAAATGGCGGTATATATACTGGAATTTTTCTTTTTTTATTTTTACTAGTAATGCCAGTGATCAGCGACATATAGCGGGACTGCGGCGGACCTTCTGACACTGGGGGGGGGGGGGCTGACTTGGTGTCACTGACAACCCGAATGACACCAATACAGTGATCAGTGCTAAAAAAAAAGCACTGACATTGTGCTAATGGCACTGGGGAGGAAGGGGTCAACATGAGGGGCGATAAAAGGGTAAACTGTTGCGCTGTGTTACTATGTGCTGTGTATTGGCGCTTCACAGTAATCACACTGCTTTGGATGGCTGCCATCCAAAGCAGTGTGCGCGAGCTGACAGGGAGGAGAACTGTATTGTTTACATAAAGTTCTCCTCCCCGTTGGAGATCCTCGGTAATCACTGGGTGCCGGCGAGTAACCACCGGCCGGGGCCCGGTGATTGTCACCCGTGGTGTAGGGTGCGTTCGTGCCTCAGGTGCACCCCCTACATGGCAATGCAAAATCACGTATATATACGTGATTTTGCGCACCCATGCCGCCATGTAGCAGTACATCTGCTATAGGGTGGTTGGGAAGCGCTAAAGGCTATCTGGTTGAACTCCTGAAAATTCAGTGATGTCATGGAAGAGAGCAGGTGTGAAGTGGCAGGACTGAAGCTTCAGCATGAAACCAGGGGCGGACTGACCATTAGGAAACTTGGGCACTGCCTGAGGGCCCGGGGACAGTAGGGGGCCCCATGAGATGCCCCTGGTACGTTTTTCATAGGCTTTTTTGAGTTTGGGCAAGGACACAGGGGCCCCATGATCCCCTATTGCCCGGGGGCCCCATGAGTTGTCAGTCCGCCCCTGCCTGAAACATTATACTGGCTCCTCACTTGCTTCTATTCTGTAGATATAGGTCCTTCCAGTGCACTTTGTAATCAGGAGGGTCTATAATAATTACTTAATCAATACCAGTATTATAGAATGAAAAAAATGTCAAACCCTGGCACGGTAATAGTAAAACAACACCAAAGGTGAAAAAGAGTATGCCAGACTTCCGGTAAATGAGGTACATTGATTACAAGAGCAGGGGGATGAGAACTCTGTAAAATCCCACGTCAACTGATACTGTATTCACGATTGCAAGGAGGCATGTTCCTTTTTAATTCATTTTATACAACCATGCCAAGCTGCCTAGTGATATGGAAAGTGGTTGATGTTTCATCTGAACAAAAGTGGAAATTTACTTTAAACTTCAATAAAGTGATTTTAAAACTCACTTCAAAAACAACAAACACAATGCAGATAAATGAAACCTAATAGAATGATGATTTTTCATCTCTATGGATTTAATATTACATCATTATATAGATTTTGCAGTACATGAACTTTTCTTATGTGCTCCTGGCTGGTCTGTTAAATATACCAGTTTGTATTATCTGTTCAATAAGTGCAAAAATAAATTGTTGGTCCTGCCAGAAATCCAGGGAGCTTATAACTTACTGCAGTGAGCTGACAACGCTGCTCCTGCAGCACTTAAAGTGTTACTAAACCCACAACAGTAAAATCAGTCTATAAATGAAGTAAAGCATGCTTGTTATACTACCTGTGGAACCTAAGCAGTTAATTCACCGCATTGTGTAAAAAGGATGTTTGATCTTGTCTTCTCTGATCCTCCCCTTCTTCCACAGACCACAATCTATCTGCTCATAGAACAAAGCCCTGGGGGCACATGGTCAGTTTGGTGTGTATTGCTAGAGAGTTTTTTATTCTTTGAGAGGGTGCATGTGATTAGCACAGGGCCAATCTGTACTGTCCAGACAGAGGGTCAGGCGTGATGCAGCCTCATAGGACAATCAGGAAAAATGAAAACTCCGCCTACAACCTTTAACCTTCCTAGCGGTCTGATTATGTCCATATTTCTGTGCTGAAAGCGGTACATTTTTTTGCATGGAAATATGTATTTTTTTTATTGTAGGCCTGTAATTTTTAGGAATAACTCACTGAAATCTGTCCGAACAAGAGTCTAGTAAACATCCCGGGTAGGATAGAATTTGAAACACGAAATCATAAATTATAATTTATTAAATAATCCTAAAAAATAATAATAATATAATAATACATTTAATTCAATAATATAATCAAACCAAAAACACTGAAATTTGAAATATAGCGCCATGTTCGCACATCACTGAGCAAAGACGCAGAATCGTTTTCAGTGTCTGATGACGAATTTCCCCCATGAATCATTATCACTCAATTCTGCAAGTGGTTCTAATTTACTATCACTGTTCTCTAGCTGATCTAAACCCGCTTTTGACCTAAAGGGACACTTTTTGGACATCATGGACTTTTTTAAGTTTCCAGGCAGAAAGAACAGTAAAAATGCAGGCAGGGCGCCGGACAAAGCACTCGGGACAAAATGTATGTGAAATGGTTTGATACAGTAATGTTTTACTATGTCAAATTCATTTATCAGAAAATGACAGTTTCTAAAAATTTTTAAATTTGCCTCCAGTTCCGGAACCCCATACGTCCCGTACATCCCAACGCTCGCAGGGATCAGAACATGGAAGCCAGATGCCGGCATAGGCTGGAGGAGATGGCCGGGGACGCGGCAGGCGACGCATAGTGGGAGCGAAGGACAAGGTAAGTGCTGCAGGGACTCCCTATGCAGCGCCGCATGGTAAGCCCGAGTGTAGCTCGGGGTTACCGCTTGTGGTACTGAAACTTTACCCCGAGCTACACTCGGGAATACCGCCAGGGAGGTTAACCAGTGCTGTGCTGGACACTGATAGAAGTCACAAGACTGCTCTAACTGCTAATGAGAAAAGGTATTTAGCAGTTTATATTCACTACAATAATTGCATTTCTATGTTCTGTGTACTGTGGGAGACCAGATATAGTGAATGCAGGGTCCTGGGAGACCAGATATAGTGAATGCGGGGTCCTGGGAGACCAGATATAGTGAATGCAGGGTCCTGGGAGACCAGATATAGTGAATGCAGGGTCCGGGGAGACCAGATATAGTGAATGCGGGGTCCTGGGAGATCAGGTATAGTGAATGCAGGGTCCTGGGAGACCAGATATAGTGGATGCAGGGTCCGGGGAGACCAGATATAGTGAATGCAGGTCCTGGGAGACCAGATATAGTGAATGCAGGGTCCTGGGAGACCAGATATAGTGAATGCAAGGTCCGGGGAAACCAGATATAGTGAATGCAGGGTCCGGGGTTTAGTAACACTTTAATTCTCAGTCAGGTTGTCAGCTCCGAGTATCACTGTGCACTAGAGAAGGCATCCCTGTTATATTATTGAGATGAGGAGAGGGGGAGGTTTTCTATAGTCTAAATAAGTAGTGAGCAGCCTAGAATGACAATGCTGTTCTTCCATTACATTGCAGTGTCACCTTAGAACAGGGAGTGTGTTATTGTCCAGATCACCAGTTGGAAATAAGGATAAAAAAAAAAACTAAATAAAAGGAAACTAAAGCAGCCACCGCATCTGCGGATGGGCAAACTGTATGCTATATTATTTATATATGTTGTATATGTTTGCTCTTGGGTTTACACATTAATTTCACTTTGCAAAGAATACCAAATCACATGCAAACAAGGGAAATAAAAACCAGCATTTTTGCTTGCACACAAATGGATAATGGAAGTCAGCAGAGCTTCTGCTAATTTACTAGGCTCTGGAGAAACTGCTCTTGCAGTGGGCAACTGCACTATAGGAAGGGGTCAAAATATTTACCAATTAATTACAGACCTGTTTGTTTAACGTCTATAGTCGAGAAGATACTGCATACTTTAATAAAAGAACACATAGATGAGTACTTGCTGGAAAAAAAAATATTTTAAGCAACAGACAGCATGGATTCATGAAAGACAGAAGTTGTAAAACAAATCTGATTTCTTTTTATGAGGAGGTGAGCAAAACCTTGGATAGAGGGGTGGCTGTGGATGTGGAATACATGGACGGTGGTGGTGGTATACTTGGACAGAGGGGTGGCGGTGGTATACTTGGACAGAGGGGTGGTGGCAGACGTGGTATACTTGGACAGAGGGGTGGCAGTGGACGTGGTATACTTGGACAGAGGGGTGGCGGTGGACGTGGTATACTTGGACAGAGGGGTGGCAGTGGACATAGTATACTTGGACAGATGGGGGGTGGCAGTGGACGTGGTATACTTGGACAGAGGGGTGGTGGTGGACATGATATACTTGGACAAAGGGGTGGCAGTGGACGTGGTATACTTGGACAGAGGGGTGGCAGTGGACGTGGTATACTTGGACAGAGGGGTGGCAGTGGACGTGGTATGCTTGGACAGAGGGGTGGCAGTGGTATACTTGGACAGAGGGGTGGCGGTGGTATACTTGGACAGAGGGGTGGCGGTGGACGTGGTATACTTGGACAGAGGGGTGGCAGTGGACGTAGTATACTTGGACAGAGGGGTGGTGGCGGACGTGGTATACTTGGACAGAGGGGTGGCAGTGGACGTGGTATACTTGGACAGAGGGGTGGCAGTGGACGTGGTATACTTGGACAGAGGGGTGGCAGTGGACGTGGTATACTTGGACAGAGGGGTGGCAGTGGACGTGGTATACTTGGACAGAGGGGGTGGCAGTGGTATACTTGGACAAAGGGGTGGCGGTGGACGTGGTATACTTGGATTTTGCAAAAGCGTTTGACACAGTTCCCCACACACGGCTAATGTGTAAGGTAAAGTCTATGGGCTTGGAAAAATCTGTATGTAAATGGATAGAAAACTGGCTAAAAGATCATATTCAGAGAGTAGTGGTTAATGATTTTATACTCTGAATGGTCTAGGGTCATCAGTGGTGTACCCCAGGTTCAGTGTTGGGACCCTTACTTTTTAATATATTTATAAACAATATAGGGTCTGCAATTATAAATCCCATTTCAGTCTTTGCAGATGACACCAAGCTGTGCAGTAGAATAACGTCCTTACAGGATGTCTCCAACTTACAAGCCGACCTCAATGCTCTGTGTAATTGGGCAACTATGGGGCCAATGAGGTTTAATGTTGATAAATGTAAGGTCCTACACTTGGGGGCTAAGAATATGCATGCATCATACATACTAGGGGGGGTACAACTGGGGGGGCAATGGTGGAGAAGGATCTGGGGGTTCTGGTAGATCACAAGCTTAATAATGGCATGCAATGCCAAGCTGCGGTTTCTAAAGCGAGCAAAATCCTCTCTTGTATTAAAAGAGGTATAGACTCCAGAGAGAGATATCATATTACCCCGGTACAAATCATTAGTAACACCTCATCTGGAATATGCAGTTCAATTTTGGGCACCAATTCACAAAAAGAACATTGGGGAACTGGAGAAAGTACAGAGAAGGGCAACCAAACTGATAAGAGGCATGGAGGAGCTCAGCTATGAGGAAAGATTAGAGGAACTGAATTTATTCTCTCTTGATAAGGGGAAATTAAGGGGGGATATGATCACCATGTATAATACATAAGGGGGGATATGATCAACATGTATAATACATAAGGGGGGATATGATCAACATGTATAATACATAAGGGGGGATATGATCTCCATGTATAATACATAAGGGGGGATATGATCTCCATGTATAATACATAAGGGGGGATATGATCACCATGTATAATACATAAGGGGGGATATGATCTCCATGTATAACACATAAGGGGGGATATGATCTCCATGTATAATACATAAGGGGGGATATGATCACCATGTATAATACATAAGGGGGATATGATCTCCATGTATAATACATAAGGGGGGATATGATCTCCATGTATAATACATAAGGGGGGATATGATCTCCATGTATAATACATAAGGGGGATATGATCTCCATGTATAATACATAAGGGGGGATATGATCTCCATGTATAATACATAAGGGGGGATATGATCTCCATGTATAATACATAAGGGGGATATGATCTCCATGTATAATACATAAGGGGGGATATGATCTCCATGTATAATACATAAGGGGGGATATGATCACCATGTATAATACATAAGGGGGGGATATGATCTCCATGTATAATACATAAGGGGGGATATGATCTCCATGTATAATACATAAGGGGGGATATGATCTCCATGTATAATACAGGGGGATATGATCTCCATGGGGGATATGATCTCCATGTATAATACATAAGGGGGATATGATCTCCATGTATAATACATAAGGGGGGAATATGATCTCCTACATAAGGGGGGATATGGATCTCCATGTATAATACATAAGGGGGGGATATGATCTCCATGTATAATACATAAGGGGGGGATATGATCTCCATGTATAATACATAAGGGGGGATATGATCAACATGTATAAATACATCAGTGGTACATATAGTGAACTTGGTGTAGAGCTATTCACCCTGAGGTCATCACAGAGGACAAGGGGGCACTCTTTACATCTGGAGGAAAGGAAATGTAATCTCCAAACACGGAAAGGTTTCTTCACAGTGAGAGCTGTGAAAATGCGGAATAGACTCCCTCAAGAGTTGGTTCTGGCCAGCTCAGTGGATTGCTTTAAAAGAGGCCTTGATTGTTTCTTTTTAGATACACAGAATATAACTGGATACTAACATTTATAGGTAAAGTTGATCCAGGGAATATCTGATTGCCTCTTGAGGGATCAGGAAGGAATTTCTTTCCCCAGCAGGAGCAAATTGGATCATGCTTTGCTGGGTTATTTTGCCTTCCTCTGGATCAACTGTGGGTATAGAATTCTAACTAGTTTTTTTTTTTTTAATAGTTGAACTGGATAGACTTTTGTCTTTTTTCAGCCAGACTAACTATGTAGCTAAATATCATAAACAATTTTTATCTTTTTTTTTTTATAATATAGCAAATCATTGTAAATCATCTTTCCACTGTTTTCATGTTTTTACCTTGTACTCTTCCTTTGCTATAACTTACTGCTGCTGACCTCCTTTGTACCCAATTCATGTTTCCTTGTTGTAAAGCGCTGAGTAAACTGTTGGCGCTATATAAATCCTGTGTCATAATAATAATAATAATACATGCACTCCAGCGATGGCATTCCTCTGGGTTAGTTTTCTGACACGTGTAATGTATGTTAAAAAAGAGCCACGGAAGCCCATGTAACCCGATGACAACTCAAGTGAGCGATTGTGGGACAGGGAAAGAGTGTTGTCACTCTATAACAGAAAATGTCTAAAAAAAAGGACCTTTATGGCAGGATCATTATTTGCATGAAAATGACAGATTTCAAAATATTTAAAAAGCCTTTTGCAATGACAATAAAATGTTCAAGCTTATATATGAGGTATTAGTAATTGGAGTGTCTTGTACTTTAAGTTACCACTCCTGCCTAAAATTTATAATAGAATATATTTATCATTTTGTAAATTTTTTTGGCATTCTTGCGTCATATTCAACGTCAGCTTAGCAAACTACAGTGTTCTTGTCTAGTCGATGTTCTTTTTCAGGGTCAGTGCTCTAAAAATATCCTACGGTTCTGCTCCCGAGGGAGACAGCGGTACTGATCTTGTAGGGCTGTCATCGAGCTTCTCCGAGTGGATAAATGCCTGCCACTGTGCAATGCTAATTGCCCGTTTTTTGCTCTTTGGCTGCATTAATTTTATCAAGCACCAAACGAAGATGACTGATAATGATTATGTTATGCTCTCCTGGGACGTAGAGCTGCTCCTAGACTTAAAAATAAATGTTTACTGGCTGTAAATAACAGACCTTCTAATGTGCGCAACACAGCAACAGAATTATAGCCACCTGAAATCTCGCCCGACACGTTTCATTTTGCAAGTCAAGACAGTCAAGGGAACAACTTTGCAAGCCACTTTTTTTTAGCCATGTTCTTTTATGCTTTTACAGAATCTTAAAATGTTCCCTCTGCTCAATTTTTCCTCATTGTTAAGACGCAGCAAAGTGAAAAGTTGTCATGCAGCTCATCGATTTATAACCGCCAAAAGAGAGCATCTGGGAGGGGCGAAATGCTACAAGTAAATAAAACAAGCGCGTTTCTCAGAACTCCGAACTACCCACATGAAAGAAAAATATATTGAAATATATTTTAAAAATATTCTTCCCAAATATATTAACATATATCTGAAATACTGCAAATTTGTCAATATGCAATATATTTAAGAAAAAAAAAAAACAAAAAACACACACACACACACACACACATATATATATATATATATATATATATATATATATATATATATGTATGTTTTTTTTCTTAAATATATTGCATATTGACAAAATTGTAGTATTTCAGATTTATGTTAATATATTTGGGAAGAATATTTTTAAAATATATTTCAATATATTTTTCTTTCGTGTGGGTAGTTCTGAGTTTTGAAAAACACGCTTGTTTTATTTACTTGTATCAATTCGCCCCTCCCAGATGCTCTCTTTTGAAATACTACAATTTTGGACATATTCAATATATTTAAGAAAAAAAAAAAAAACCCACACACACACATATATATGTTTTTGTTTTTTTTTTCTTAAATATATTGCATATTGCCAAAATTGTAGTATTTCAGATTTATGTTAATATATTTGGGAAAAATATTTTTAAAATATATTTCAATATATTTTTCTTTTGTGTGGGTAGTTCTCCCGAGTTCTGAAAAACGCGTTTGTTTTATTTACTTGTATCAATTCGCCCCTCCCAGATGCTCTCTTTTGACGGTTATAAATCGATGAGCTGCTTGACAACTTTTCTCGGCATGTTGAAATTAATTTTTTATATATTACAAAATATCTAAAAAATGTTTTTAAAAATATATATAATTTTTTTAAATATATATTCTTCAGATTTTTTTAACATATAAAAAAGTCATTTTAACATATATTTTTACATATATTTGTAAATGCATTTCAAAAATGTAGATTAAATGTATTTTTAAAGACATACAGTATATTTGAAAATGTATTTTTAAAAATATTTTTCATAAATTTTGTAAAAAAAACGCATTTCAACATACAGTATATTGTGAAGGAAATAAGTTTTTGATCCCCTGCAGATTTTGAATGTTTGCCCACTCACAAAGAAATGATCAGTCTAAAAATCGAATGGTAGGTATATTGTAACACTGAGAGCAGGGACAAACTGACAACTCATGGGGCCCCCGGGCAATAGGGGATCATGGGGCCCCTGTGTCCTTGCCCACACTCAAAAAAGAATATAAAAAAGGTACCAGGGGCATTTCATGGGGCCCCCTACTGACCCCAGGTCCTCGGGCAGTGCCCGAGTGCTCTAATGGTCAGTCCGCCCCTGACTGAGAGATGGAATAGCAACAAAAAAATTCAGAAGAAATGCATGTCTAACAAATTATGCACTGATTTGCATGTTCACGAGGGAAATAAATATTTGATCCCCTATCATTCAGCAGGATTTCTGGCTACCAGGTGTCTGTCATACAGGTAACAAGCTGAGATTAGAAGCAGTCTCTTAAAGGGAGTGTTGCTAATCTCATTTTGTTGCCTGTATGAAGGACACCTGAACTGGATAACGTATGTACTCTCCAGCACCTCAGGAAATGCACAGCCAAAGGAACCAGGACAGCGACAACCAAAGGAGATGCTTCAGGGGTGCAGCCCTCCTCAGCCGGGGAGATCAGCCACTAGATAGAGAATAAACAGGTGG